CATTTTATACTAGACATGGTATAATTATTATATTATTGCGGAGCTGGAGCTCCAGCAGTAGTGAATTCTTGTAGCTAAGTCACCAAAAATCATAATCACAAATATTTTCGAAGTTCTGAAATTTAAATATTTGATGTATAAAACGAACAATTAATTACAAATGTTACAGCATTAAAGAGAACCTTTTTCCATGAATATGAACATTTCGTACGTTAACCGTGTACATGCGAAGAAAAAGACGAAAACAATGACTTAGGGCACTATTTTCTTCGTTCCCTTTTCTCGTCTGAGAAAAAGCAGTTCGCAGACAGATCGGCTGACAGAAATTTCCAGACGGGGCTAATTCGACGTGTCGTAGAGTTACAAGGGAGATTTACGAGCGTATGCGATTGACGAAAGGAGGGGTAAGGATAGGGGGTTGGCTCACGGTCGATTGACTTTCGAAAATGATTTTTCGCGTGCAGCTACATCCAATATACGAGTGTTCCTTTCATTCGGAAAGAAAAAAAAGCCTTTTCCCCGTGGATACCTATAACTCACCGTTCTCGAAAGCGTGTAAACACTCCCATAAATTAAGATCGGATCGAAGCCGAAGAATAAAATCTGCACAGACAAATAATTGTATTGTACCTTTCTTCTTCTTGATAATAAATGACAACCAAGTTTGAACAAGCTGCTATTGCTTGCAACGCTTTTTTTTCTGTTCAATTATTTAAAAACTCTGTGCATTCGTTTAAATATGATTATCTCTGTAAATGTTAATCAGAATATAAAATGTACAATTTGTTGAAATAAAGTAAAGTACGTAAAGAAAGTTTTGCATTGGCTAATGCAAAATGTAGACAGATATGTTTATGTTTAAATTATGAAAGGAATTCTGGATTTAGATTTAACGATTAAGATTGCTACTTAATTATTAATAATGGTCCTTCGGGTGCTATTTTAGGTATTATAATATATTTTGAAATAATGGAGATCTAGATAGGGGGTTATTCACCTTTCAAATATTTTTATATTTTTCTTTACTCAAAGACCTATCAATTTATACTGAGTCTCCTATACCGTGATAGATAAAACATCCCCACACCATTATCGATCCACCTTTGTGCTTCGCAGTTGACTGAATACATTGTGAAGGCATTTTTTCATGAGTTGCTCGAATAATGAACATTCACCTTCAGTGAAATAAGTCAAATTTGACTTTATATATTGACAGCCTTAAAAACTTATTCCAAACTTAAAAATTTTGAAAGTACATTACTGGAAACATTTATTTTTCCCAATTTTTAAAAAGTGCAGAATTATTTGTCATTTAGAAATACACTGCAAATCTCAGTATTTTATTCTTATGTACATAATAAGTTTAAACCGATGGGTTTTAATTATTTTCTAATCGTTAGAGGCGTTAGAATGATGAAACACAACGAACGTATAGCAAATGAACGCGAGATAAATGAACACATTATAAATGGATGTGTCATAAATGAACGCGTGATAAATGAACACATAATACCTGGCTGTGTGATAACTGCACGCATAGATTCAACGCATGGTAAGGGAATGTGTAGCAAGTCAACGTGTTGTAATTGAATACAAGGTGTTACAACGCATTATAAATGAACGCGTAGTAATTGAACATGCGATAATTCAACCTACTGTAAACGAACGTGTGGTAAATGAACGTGAGGTGGCTGAACGCGTGATAATTGAACTCGTGGTGATTCAACGCGCGGTAAATGAACGTGTGATAATTGAATGTATGGTAATCCAACGCGTGATGATTGAACGCATGGTAATTAAACGCGTGGCAGTTGAATGCGTAGCAACTGAGCGCGTGATAAATGAATGCGTCGTAAATGAATGCGTGAAAATTTAACGCGTAGTAACACAATGTGTGGTAATTCAACACGTGATAATTGAGAGTGTGGTAAACGAACGCATGGTAAACGCGTTATCATAAGCGAACGCGTAATGATTAAAGATACAATGAGTGGTAAATGTACGCATAGTGATGCAATGAGAGGTAAATAAAGGCACAGTGATATGATCGTCCGATATATCAGTGCGCGATAAATAAATACCAGGTATATTAACGCATAATAAATAAATGCGTGACAAACAAACGCGTGGTAAATAAATATGTGGCAAATGAACGCCTTATATATGAACGCGTAGTGATTAGTCGCATGGTAACTACACGTATAGATAACATAAAGTGTGGGAATAAAACGTCGAGAGAAATAATATAGCAAACCAGTAAATCACTAAAGTGTTTTACTTCAAAGCGCTGAATAAATCACTCATGCTTGTAGTGTATGTGTCCACCAGGACCCGAACTCTCGACAAAAGTGTCTCCTTCTGAGAACTCACCTTGCACCTACTGTGCCATGACTATTTCTTTACATCGAGCCATAAGTCGCTATCTCGTGGTTTTCACCCCCGAAAAATAAGGGCGTGGCAGCCCTGTGACACGGCGGCTGCAGGAGTATAAAAGATCTGCGAAGAATCCTGACTTTCGAACGGGTCGAATACCGCGTATATATACGTATCTGTGTCTACACGTGTCTGTGTGTGTGTGTGTGCCTTGTCATCGACACAATGAGTCGAAGATTATCTACGATGGGATTCGCTAACGTTATAACGCCTGCAGCCAACCCCCTGCCCGAGCTCGTTCACCCTCTTGGAGAACGACAGGATCCAAGAAGAAAAGAGACCTCTTCTTCTTTTTCTACGTCTTCCGACGGTTCTGAAGAGAGACACAAAAAAAGGGAAAGAAGTTTATTATTCGTGAAGACTCGAAAACGTTTACGAGTTTAGAACGTCTTTGATGATGAAATGGCAAGTTTAATCTAGAGGAGGAACTTGATTTTCGAAATCTTTCGAAATTCTGACTAGTTACTTTCTTTATTTCCTGTGAAAATTATGGTGGCTGTGGAAAATATAAGTTGTATTATCACGCGCTCTATGGTCATTTATTACTTCTATGCGTTATATTGTCAAATGTTCAATTAGCGGTTAGTTACTAGGCACTCAGGTGCCTGTCGTTCAATTACCAAGCGCGCAATTACTACATATTGAACCATCACGCGTTCAACTACGAAGTGTTCAACTATTGCTTGTTCAATTACCAACTTTTGAATTGCCACCCCTCAAATTGCCACATGTTCAATTACTATACATTCAATTACTATACTATACAATTACTATACATTCAATTACCACACGTTGAATTACCATATCACTACGTAATACATACCACATCGTTACTAACATGTTAAATCACTACGCATCAAATCACTATACATGAAATCGCTATGCGTTGCATTGTCACGTGTTTAACTATATTGTTCCCTATCACTACGCGTTATATCACTACATATTGTATTCCTGCACTTTGTATCGTTCACGTGATGTATTACTACGCGTTACGTGATCCACATGCTGTATCATTTATGTGTTACACTATCCATGCATTGAATCATCAGCGGGTTATATTACCAATTGTATGATTAATTTGTTATACTGTTCACACGTTGAATCATCAACGCGTTATATCGCCACGTGTTCAATTATTATATATTTACGATGGGATTCGCTAACGTTATAACGCCTGCAGCCAACCCCCTGCCCGAGCTCGTTCACCCTCTTGGAGAACGACAGGATCCAAGAAGAAAAGAGACCTCTTCTTCTTTTTCTACGTCTTCCGACGGTTCTGAAGAGAGACACAAAAAAAGGGAAAGAAGTTTATTATTCGTGAAGACTCGAAAACGTTTACGAGTTTAGAACGTCTTTGATGATGAAATGGCAAGTTTAATCTAGAGGAGGAACTTGATTTTCGAAATCTTTCGAAATTCTGACTAGTTACTTTCTTTATTTCCTGTGAAAATTATGGTGGCTGTGGAAAATATAAGTTGTATTATCACGCGCTCTATGGTCATTTATTACTTCTATGCGTTATATTGTCAAATGTTCAATTAGCGGTTAGTTACTAGGCACTCAGGTGCCTGTCGTTCAATTACCAAGCGCGCAATTACTACATATTGAACCATCACGCGTTCAACTACGAAGTGTTCAACTATTGCTTGTTCAATTACCAACTTTTGAATTGCCACCCCTCAAATTGCCACATGTTCAATTACTATACATTCAATTACTATACTATACAATTACTATACATTCAATTACCACACGTTGAATTACCATATCACTACGTAATACATACCACATCGTTACTAACATGTTAAATCACTACGCATCAAATCACTATACATGAAATCGCTATGCGTTGCATTGTCACGTGTTTAACTATATTGTTCCCTATCACTACGCGTTATATCACTACATATTGTATTCCTGCACTTTGTATCGTTCACGTGATGTATTACTACGCGTTACGTGATCCACATGCTGTATCATTTATGTGTTACACTATCCATGCATTGAATCATCAGCGGGTTATATTACCAATTGTATGATTAATTTGTTATACTGTTCACACGTTGAATCATCAACGCGTTATATCGCCACGTGTTCAATTATTATATATTCTGTCGCCACATATTCAACTATAATATTATACGTTGTATTGCCACACATTTAACAATGACGCGCTGTGTCGTCACACATTCAACTACCATACGTTGTTTAACAACATATCAAGTTCGTAACATCACATATTATATCAATACGTGTTACATCGCCATGCATACCATTACCATGTGTGGATTCTGACAACTAATAAAAGCCGATGCACACGACATTTTTCACGCTATTCCGCTGTGATTATACATTCTCTTTCGCAGTTAAAAACAGTGAAGATAAACATACGATCGCAGAACAATCGTACGGAAAAAAATCGCGCATGTGCATCGGGCTTAATATGTGAAAGTAGTTGATATTCAAGTTTGAATATTTCCTCTTAAAGTTAGTGTAAAATCGATTGAAAATGGATGAATATGTAAACTCAGTGATTTTAATTGGTTTGCGTTCTGTTTTTTCAGGTCACAGTGGGGTGAATCAACTTGGGGGTGTGTTCGTCGGCGGTAGACCGCTTCCAGACTCAACGAGGCAAAAGATCGTCGAGCTAGCGCATTCTGGCGCTCGACCATGCGACATTTCTAGGATCCTGCAGGTCAGCAATGGTTGCGTCTCGAAGATTCTCGGAAGGTTGGTTGAAATATTGCTCGGTCCAAGTACTCCAAATATTTTTTTTAAATATGCACAATATTAAAAGTTTTATTTTTTTTTATAATTGACATTCAGCACATTCTTTTTTCAATTATTTAATATTATGTTAATTCGTTTATTTTTTACGCTTAGTAGTACTGTTTGTAGTGTAATAAATTATGAATGATAAATGATTAAGTAAATAATTATTAAATTGCAGTTAACTATGATAAATTTCTCAGCTTATAGTGTGATTATTGTTCTATTTATCTTCTTTTTGTCCTCTTCATCCTCATGTGTACGAAAATGGTGGAATGAAAATATTTTATTTATAATAAATTTGTTTAATCAATTACAATAAGTTCTTTTATTTACTTATTACAATAAGTGCTTGCTTTAAAGGCGTTTTAGCCATCAAAGATCTTTTTCAAAGGCTTCACAGACCTTTTTTTGTGTAAAATGTTTTTTCTTTTTCTCTTTCTTCAACATTCTGAAAAATTGAATAATCTATTACTATATAATGTAAAAGAAATGATTAAAAATATATTATAAAGTTTTAGGTTATGTTGATATTCTAACGAGTTTAAAGATAGACAGAATTATATTTTTGTATAGTTATTCTTAACATAAATGTATATAATAGAGAAGATATTTACTTTAGTGTAATATTAACTGAACTTTTTACATTTATTAGTATAATAAGTTGAGTAAGATTGATTCGTTTAATAATTCGACCTCGCGTGAAAACGTGTCTGTGCCGATGGTGTTTAATAACTTGTCAGTGTTGTTTCCATATCCTCACAACAAAAATTCATATTTAATTTCAATATTTAAACAAAATTAGTAAGCAGTAAAATTAATCTAAATTCCCCATTAATTAATAACTCTAGAATAATTTTACTATTTAAATCTTGGACTAAAGATCAAATTAAAAACGTCGAATCTTGAAGTATACATATTATTGCACAACAATATTTTCATGTGATATAAGTATTGAATTACAGAAGTTTATTTTTATGTGTGAAGCTAATTTCGCTATTACAGTTTGGTTACTCTAAACATTCAAAATAAGTAGAAAGTGCTGACAAAAATTGTTAATTTCGTCTCATTTCAGCATTAGAAAATTTATCTTACAAAGCTCTTTCAGAACGAATAAAATCGCAAAAAATTTTTTAAATATTCATAATAATTGATCAAATAGCTCTAATCGCTTTTCCCTCTGACTGTTATGAAAGTTAATACGTAAGATGTAAGCTAAACTAGAAACTAACTAAATGTAAGAGGAGATGAAGTAATAGCAATGTATATTCGGTGTACCGCATTGTACCGCAAATTATTACTATTGCAGGTACTATGAGACCGGTTCTATCAGACCCAGAGCAATCGGTGGCAGTAAACCGCGTGTAGCGACGGCGGAAGTTGTGAATAAAATTTCTCTCTACAAAAGCGAGTGTCCCTCCATTTTTGCATGGGAAATCAGGGATCGTTTGCTTCAAGAAGGTGTCTGCACGAACGACAACATTCCTAGTGTAAGTACCACTCGTTAACACCTAAATAATCACCTAAAAATCGAAAACACGTATAAGTCAATAATGAAAGCAGTACAAGTAAAGAACGAATTTTTTCCTGAAATTGAACTTGATCCACTTTCTTGAACTTATACATACCATAAATATATAAGAGGTTAAGTTAGGAGAATAGTTTAAGTACTATAAAAGAAAAGCGGTCAAAACTTTTAACCTTCAGACTTCAAGTTTTAATTATATCTACACATAAGTGTGAGTTCAAATTTAAAGTGCACTCACAGCAATGTTCGCGTGTATCCGCACAAAAAACCACGAAACGCGACGTAAAATTACGAAGAGCAATATTCCTAGAAGAAACAGCGAAGGTATCGTTATTGCAGCGAATCCAGCAAAAGAGAAATTGCTTTTCTCATGATTTTCCTTTTATTTCTCCATTCGGTCGATCCGGTTTGTTCGCCAACCCCTTCCACGAGCGTGTGCCGACGTCGACGCAATAATTCTCGAGCGAACTGTACATAATGGAATATTACACGGGCCATTAAAGAAACGTTAATCTTCGCCACAACAAGTTCAGAAGCGCTTGCAGGATGTTCAAACGCGGCACGGGATTATACTTACTTTGTGCGCCAAGCTTTGATCCTCCTTTCGGCCTGGAGGCTCCTACCGACCCTTCGCGTGTCCGTGTAATTTGTTAAAGCGTTAAATCATTACGCTACCTGTTTTCGTTAATTGACTACTCATTTCGCCTAATCGCTGACTAATCGCTGAATGGGAATCGCAGACAATTCTCGTCGGATAAGAAGAAAAGAACTACGATGAAAAGATTAAAAATTGCATAATTCCGCAGGTTCCAATATCGAAATGTTCCAAAGCTGAAAAACCCCCGTCACAAATTGTCCAGAGTTCTATAATAGTCAGTAAACAGAATCTTGTCAGAAGTTTCAATTTTGTTTTCTTTCATTTTGTTATTCGTATCGAAGAGTTGACTTCCGACAGTTTTTCCCGACGGCGATAAAAACATTCGCTATCCGACGTTATCCCTTTCTTTCGGAATTCTCTGTTGAAGCATCTGGGCGTAGGAAGACGACGGTATACGTACATATATACATATATATAGGCAGTCGGTACGATGGTGTCGAGGCCATTACGAAGGTGCGATGGAAAGAAAGAGGAGAAAGATGGTAGAGTGTGGGCAAGAAGAAGGTCGGCAAGAGGAAAAGAGAATTTAGCGACCCTCTTTTGCTTTTTACCCTGAGCAAGAGTCGAGAGCCCCTTAGCCACCGTTTATTGGACGCATGCAAATATCCATGGCAACGAGGGACCACCATGAGAAGCAACCCCGTCGCGAACTTTGAACGTATTAGTGGGTGGAGTGTAAGTCTTCGAGATCGAGCTGAAAAAAGGGAAATTTCCTTTTGATCCGTGCGTTATATTCCCCTTTCCATCCTCTGCAATTTCTTAATTGATTCCTTTATCTGCCTAACCCTCTATATACGTTTATCTCCGCCATTCTGCTAGATGTTCTCAGAATCGCTTGAAGATGAATTCACTCTTATTTTAATACAATATTTCATATGATTTTTAGGACATTTTTAATTTGTTATTTAACCAATCTACATAAGCTTCATTATAATAGAATGAACAATTTGAATAAATGTGATAATATAGTACATATACAATATTTTGTACTTTACCAGCAACTCTCTCATTGTTAGTTATTAATTTTCATATTTTTACCTTTAGTCGTTTAAAACAAATTGTAGTATTATGTTATGATATTATCTATACAAAGTATTTGCTATAAATGAATCTTGATGATTGCATATGGGATTAAAAAATACGCATCTAATACAATGAAGATCAATTCGAATTTATTTTCGAAAAATAATGCAAATATGAGAGGTTAATATAAATCATCGCAAGTAAAGTAGACGCAACTTAATTCTCCTTCTGTTCTTTCAAAATTCCTACTGTATATGCGAAAAACATTGTTATATATTATGTATGTTAAATATTATAAAAAATGAATGATTGTTCATTTTATACATGTTACTTTATGTAGAATGATTAAGATACAAACTTATATCTGATATCATTGTTATTATAGAAATCTCATTTAATGTAACATACACATTACTTCACATAATTATCATTATAATTATAATTGAATTTAATTATCGTAATATTTATAATTATAATTAACTATAATAAAGAATACAAAAAAATGAGTAATAACTCTAGCTTCATATTATTAGGATAATTACAATTTTATATAATTGTATATAATTGTAATTATATAAACTTAATTTGATATGATTACACATGAAATTTCATGCAGTTATCATTTTAATTATAGTTGCGTATTATACATACATTGAGTTGCGTATAGTTATTTTTATAATTACAATTTTATTTACTTATGATACAAATTACAAGTGTTAATTATTCATTTAATTTTATACATTTGTAAAATACGAAGTTACAATGATATCAAATTATATAGCATATAATTAACGTCACTAATATTTAAAACATTCACCAAAATCAGTTGGACGAAAGAATGTTTGGGACGAAATGGACGATGGTGAATGATGTAGCGAACGTTATTCGCGCCGTTCCGTTTAGACAGAGATTTCATCGAGTCCCATAAACACTCCCCATAGTCACCTAGCAGAAAACTGATCTTCATTCCTCCCCCGTCGCGGCTATCTATGCAAATGTGATTGTATTTTGCAAGCGTACTACAGAAAGCCCCGTGTCGACAATACGCTCTGCCGCTTACGACCTCCATCCCACGAAAGTCGAGCTCCATTACGCGTGTTTTGCGACATGCTTTATAAACCCGTTGTCCTTGTTACCCTGAGAAACATCATCGAGCTTCAACCTACTGTTTTTCTGCACTTTCATTCAATGTCCCGTTTAATGCGAACGCGCGAGACCGTGTTACCATTCGCACGAATATAACGTGCACTTAATCGTTCGTCGTATAACGAGATAATTGTCATTTCAAATCTCCCTATATTGCTGCCGAGCTTTATTTTCTTCCTTTTCATTTTATTATTGATAATTTTCGCATTCGAAAAGCAGTGATAAATATTATAACATTTCAATGTTTGTTCTAATGTTTTATTTAAAAATTATGTTTTTTGCAAGTATAAAGTTTCTTAGATATTTGATAATCATGTACATCACATTGGTCTTTTTTATTTGTTAATTGTGTAAGGGCAATATTTTATTATTTATTATTTTCTTTTAACGGATACTCAATTGACGTTTACGTAAATACTTAGTTATTTTCGGTACACTTATTAGATACTTTTGGTAAACACTTGGTATATGCTAACTTAGATATTTGTGTTTTATATTAATACTACTTCGAATTCATTTTAATTGCTTACTTTCATCTATAATTCTATTATATTAACATGTGAAATGTGATCACTCTGCGACCACCATTTTTAATTTTTGAATGCCATCTATTATATTTGATTCTCGTTATATTTGTAAAGAGGTTAGAAAAATTAATTATCTAAAAGATAATAAAAAAGACAGAAACTTTTGAATACTTAATCCTTTGCCAGTGATGTACATTAACAAATTGAAATGAAACTTAAAAATTTTCTATATATTATAAATACATATGTTTGCCCATCTTCGTCAATTTTCATTGCAGTAATCAACGTATTAATACTTGATAGTTGATAGTTCGACAACTAAATTCACAACATTTTTACTTAGGACGCATTAAAATTCTCAAAATGCAATCAACTGTGGAAAATAAATGCTACGAATTGTTTGTCATGAATCGAGAAACACACACAAACCATAAGCGAGCAACCCCAGAAGTTGCGTTTCAAAAAATATTTCACATCTTTTCGCATACCGAGCCAGTACGAATTAAAGTCATCTGGCCCATATAGATTGAATTTTTACTTTTGTTAACCCAGTTTAATATTTACGTTATTACATCAATTTTATTTTACACTATTTATTTTTATGCACTACGAGTTAGTATTTGAGAAATACTAACTATAATTTCCTACTTAAAACTCAGATTATTGAAAAAATGATGGACGATGTATTTGTGCAATACACTGTGTAGGAAATTAGAAAATGGCGTGACATCGTATTTAAAGGCTATTAATTAGCCTTTAAACTAGCAGTCGTTGTATAAGAATTTTGCAAAAATTCTGAAGGAAACGGTGCGAATACTGTTCGTTTTCTGCCTCGATAAGAAGTGAAATCGATTTGGAAACGTCGCTATCGTTCCGAACGTCCGCACATTTCCTTTCCACGTTGTATCCTTTCCTTTCCTTTGCTTTCTTTTCCCTTCTTTTCCTCGGCACGTCGAAAACTCGTAGTTCAACCGGGAAGAAGAGGCGGGCGAGAAAAAGAAGGCGGACAAGAAAGAGGAAAGACGAGGGCGGACGTATTCGAAGCGGGTCGCGGTGATTGAGGGAAATTTCATTATTCTCAGACATTACCCCCGTTATTGTAATGCCATCAAATTGGATACGCTTCGTACACCCCCGTAAAACGGCCAGAATATTCTTGAATATCCGAAGCTCCAGCTTGCTCTCGCTCGAAAGAATGCGAGAACAATGCTTGATGCATCGCGAATCTTTTCTCTACCACTCGAGTAATCTTGAATTTTTCTCGGATCAGTTTTGATTTTCTATCGACGTCTCAGAATTTTACTCTAACCCGGAATAATCGCACACCATCATCTTTTTAATTCTAAAATATTTATAAACAATTATGACACCTAACTATTTATATTATATAAATTTATGAATATAAAGATGTTAAAATGTCGTTATTTACTTACTCAAGTACGATATACTCAGTAAATATTATTAAATTCATTATCTTCATTTTTTTTTAAATGGACCCCATTTTGGAAATAAACAGCTCATTTAGTACATTAGCCTGTCAAAATTTAAAGCGGATCGTAAAATGTGATCTCTTTTTAAAGAGAGCAATAGTATATTTGTGCGAGTGAA